CCCTTATATATATATATATATATATAAGGTTGTATATAATACTAGCCATGTAGTATACTACATATGATCAAAAACCTATATAAGGTAAATACAAGATGAATATACATACATAATAACATTGCATAATACTAGCTAGCAGTACGTTAAGGAATTCTATATTAAGTTCTAATTGTATTTTCTATTATATTTTGTTTTTTTTTTCTTATCTCATTTTCAATGAAATCATTTCATTTTCCTATAAATGATTATTCAACCTTTCAAGAGTCGTATGTGTGCGTGTGTGTGTGTGTATAAGTTTTAGGTCACCACTTACTTTTCTTTCTTTCTTTACAAAAAAGTGGAAACAGAATCAAAACCTGTTTAAAAGAGGAGAACATACATGGTACCAATTAAGCAACAATCACGTCTTTGTGTGGAAACAATGCTAGCTAGAACATCAATCTCATTAATTAAAAGTGAAGAAATTAGGAGAGATTAATTTGAATAGTTTATCTTTAAATCTCTATAGTATTAGTGAAGGTATGTCTTTTAAAACTGTTCATATATATACATTAAATTGGTGAGCAATGATATTTAGTTTATCATAACAAGACATGTTATACATAAAAAGTTTTCAAGAAAAGCCTAGAGTTTATACAAGTTTAAATCTATAAGCATATAAAAATATAACTAATAACAAACATGCCTTCATTGTAATAATAATAATACTAATAGAATACAAGCATACATACTAAACATGTATCAAATTTGCAACTGACACACACACACAAACACTTTAAAGTAATAAAAAAATTTGTTCTTTTTAAAGATCAATTTTTTGTCTTTAAAACTTTATTGCTCTTCACTTGTACAACTAAGATGCTTGCGACATGCCTCTTAAGATTCGAACAATACCCTTATGGTTTATATGCTCTTTTAAATAAGGTCTTCGAACAAAAGATTATGTAACTCAAATATATCTCAACAAGATAAACATAAGCTCTAGATTTGGAAGGAAAATCAACGTATAAAGAGGATAAGAGAAACACTAAAAATAAGATGCGGAAGAATGTGTAAAATATGAAAAAAAATACAATTTAGAAACTCTTCCTTCACCTCTTTTTTTATAGTGAATTCTGAAAGCTAAAAAGTTAAAGAATTAATAAGAATCAATCCCTATCATTATGAATCATTGATTAATTACCATCAACCATGAATTAAATCTAAAAAAACCAAGAGTTTTTTTTTAAAAAACAAAGGGTTATTTGAGATTAATTTCTCATTTTTTTTATAATTTGTTGATTTAAAACAAATTTTCATCAATCCCCTACATGAATGGAAATCGTCTCACCAATTTAAAATTAATTCAAAGATTTATTGAGATATACTGATTTGATAGGTTTCTACATTAAGACAAGTAACTTTTAGCTTTGAACTTTTCCTATTAGATTTACCCTGCTAAATAGTAAACATGATGCCTTAAACTATTTAACCTTTTAAGATAATAGTACTTATATAGTTCTGTACCTATATATTTCTTTTAGTTCTTACTGTTATATTCATTTTGGCACTGAATAACTCATGGATTCATGAGTACTTTAGAGAATTCAAACTTTATCAAAATTCTTAAAGAAACGACTACATCTCTCACTCATATAGATGATCTTTTATTAAAAGTATTATATTATACTCTGTTTGGTGTACCGAGATATGAAAATCATTAAGAGTTCAGCTTACTCTTTATCACATTATCGCTATCATTTATTTCATCATAGAAAAATGTAAAAAATAATAATTTGCTAGTGTTATCGATAATGTTATATGACTCACTTTTTTATTTGAATCTAGATCTTGGGATATCCAATTAGGTATGGTCACCTTCATTACAATCTTTCATCTTTTAAAGGATTTAAGCTCATTCCTCTTGATAAATTACACACAAAACCTCTCTTGAAACCTTTGGTTAACAAATCTATAATATGTTCCTTTAACTTTACATAGTTAGTAAAAATAATCTCATTCAAAAGCAAATGTTTAAAGGTATAATGTCTATGACGTATATGTTTAGACTTCTCATTATACATATTACTTTGTGCCATTTCAATTGTTGACTAATTATTGCAATGAATATAAATAGTTGACACTAATTTTGGCCAATATAGAATATCCTCTAAGAAACTTCAAATCCATTTAGCTTTCTTTTCAGCTTTATCAAGAGCAATAAACTCTAATTTCATCATGGATCTAGCAATACATGCATGTTTGTTTGGAAGATTTTCTTAGCATAGTTGCTCTACTAAGTATGAAGACATACCACTTATGGATTTTAAAATCATAGTGTCAGATATCCAATTAGCATCATTATACCCTTCTAATACTATTAGGTAATTGGTATAATGTAGCCCATTATCCAAGGAGTACCTCAAATAGTTGAATGCCCTTTTTATTGCATTCAACTGATCCATACTTGGATTACTTGTAAATCTATTTAATTTACTATCTAAGCAAACAATATTAAACCTTGTGCAATTTATAACATATATTAGGCTTCCAATTATTCTAGAATATTTCAATTGATTTATTTCCTTAACTTTATTCTTGGACAAATATATATTTATATCAATTGGTGTTTTGTTTGTTCTATTATCATCTTTAAAAACCTTATTGAGAACTTTCTCAACATAATGAGATTGAAATAATATTAATCTATTAGATATCTTAAATTTTTCTTATTCCTAGGATGACATTTGAAACACCTAAAATCTTTCATGTTAAACTTTTTAGTTAATATTTTTCTTAATAGACTTGATCATATGACCATTGTTACCTAAAATTAGCATGTCATCCATATAGAGACTTGTATATTCCTAGGATGACATTTGAAACACCTATATCTTTCATGTTAAACTTTTTAGTTAACATTTTTCTTAATAGACTTGCAATGACATAACCTTTATATATGTTTTTTACATAAATACATTTATCAACTTCATTGATTTTGAATTTGTTTGACAATATAACCTTGCCAAATTTTTGATGCTATTGTCTGGGTGCGTGTTTCAAACCATATATAATAATTTAACAAACTTATAAACTTTATTTTCTTGTCTTTTAATAATAAACATCGCGGGTTATTCCATATAAACCTTCTCTTTAATGTTACCATTTAAGAAAAATATTTACATTCTTTTGATGCATTTGAAGCTTATTAATAGTCGCAATGATTATTAATATTCGTAGGAAAGTTATTCTCGACACAAGTAAATATGTTTCAAAATAGTTTACACCTTTTTGTTGTCTAAAACTTGTAACAACAAGTCTAGCTCTATATTTATCAATAGTGCCATCAGCTTTGACAATGATTACATTTTTTTTTTATGTATTTCAAGTTTATTAATAGTTGCAATGATAATTAATGTTTGTATGAAAGTTATTCTCGACACAAGTAAATATGTTTCAAAATAGTCTACACCTTTTTGTTGTCTAAAACTTGTAATAACAAGTCTAGCTTTATATTTATCAATAATGCCATCAACTTTTATTTTTCTTTTAAAGACTCACTTATAGCCTAATGATTTACTTTTATGAGGAAGATCCATGAGTTCTAATGTATGATTATTCATAATAGATTCAATTTTATTGTTGATTTTTTATTCTAATAAGAAGCTTCTAGACATGACATTGCCTTAGAGTAGGTTCAATATTAGTTTTTTAATAAGTATGTTAAAGAATTAGGACCAAATGTTTCGATCGTTTTTGCCCCTTTTCTTTTTATAAGCTCAACTTTATTATCTTTTGATTAATGATGATTACTTGAAATAGTCTTAATCGTTCTCTTAAGTAGATGAATTTCTCGTACTTTATTCCATGAAAACACATCCCAAATAATATAACATTTCTTGATTCCATAATAGTTTTAGGATGAATATCATCAATACTCAACTTATTTACAAGAAATCAATATGCACTGCTATTATATGCATATTTGATAAATACACAATACATAGTCTTATATCTTATCTTAAACCTTTTAGGATAAGTTAAGCTACATTTACAAGACACCCCAATATTTTGAGTTATTTTTAGGAAAATATTCTATCTTTTCACTGTTTATATGGTGTCTTATCTAACTTTTTATGGGGCACTTTATTAAATATATAATTGGCAACTATAATTGCATCCCCTTACAACTTCTGAGGTGCTTTCAAAAATTATCAACATAACATTCATTATTATTTTTTAATGTCTAGTTTTTACATTCTGTAATGATGTTTTTTATGGTGAATAAGGAGCAATAATTTAATGGATAACACTATTTTAGGAATAAAATTCATCAATTAATGCTTTGTATTCTCTATATTCATTATTTTTTATTATCTTTATCTTTTTGTTAAGTTGATTTTCAACTTCATTCTTGTAGTATTTAAATATTTTAAGAGCTTCATCTTTGCTCATATGCCAAGAGTATAACAATATCTTATAATCATCTATAAAAATAATGTTATACTTGTTTCCACCTCTAGTTTGCATAAACTTTGAATCACCAATATCTGAGTGGTTTAAGTCTAGAGATTCACAACTCGTTTTAATTGTTTGAAAAAAAGATTTTGAGTGGTTTAAGTCTAGAGATTCACAACTTGTTTTAATTGTTTGAAATTTTTTTTATATAAATTTTGATTCTACATAAATTTTAAACATATGATTTTTCTTAAAAATCATACTTGATAATAATTCATGATTTATTAACTTTTACATAAATTATAATTCACATGACATAACCTGTCATATCATATATCTTAATACTCAAGCAAATAAAAAGAAGAGGCATTCTTACTTTTGTTCTAATCATTGGTTACAATGATCATTACATTCATTTTAAAGAGGCTATTACACATATATCCCTTTTTTAAAAGCATATCACTTTAAAATATTATAAATCTATCACTTTAAAAAACCATCTTAAAACTATTTTTTCTTAGCAATGAGTTGGACATTTAGATCTTTCTAATGTCAGCAACAAGCAATACATTATTGATAGTGAGAAGTTTTCAAAAGATCATTTTCAGTATCACCTTTCTAACACCTAGTAACTTAAAGGTTGATGAGTTTCTCATGTATAGGTTTTATCCATCCACTTCTAGAGCACCAATGTCAACCTACCATTACTTAGGATTATTGATAAGGTTGACTTAAAAAACAAAACAAGATATGATCATTTCTAAGAATTCATTAGTAAGGTGATCAACCTCGATGACTTTGGCTTAGAAAATCAATTTTGTAAGGTTTCTTTACTTACCCTTATTTTTGTAATCTTTAGCTAGATGTCTAGTCTTGTTGCAGATAAAACACTTGTCATCTAAATGTTTAAAAATTCCTTTACTTTTTACAACAAGCTTCTTTTGATTTTTGTTATGAGACCTTACTACTTGTTTCACAACATTTGGTTTTAGGGCATTAAAAAGTTGATTATCTTATTTAATAACTTATTGTCCTTTTCTACCCCTAACCTCAAAATAAGATCTTCAATTCTCATCTTCTTATGCTTATGCTTAAAATGGTTATTCAAGTCATTCCAAGATGATATCAATATTTTGATGATTGTAACCACTTGAAAGGACTCATTTAGAGACATACCTTTAATATGTATACCATACAAGGTGAGTTAAAACTCTTGAACTAGACTCATTATTATCATTGAATCAACTATATTGAAATCTAAAAATTCACTGACTATAAATTTCTTTATAATGTCATCTTTAATTTTGTACTTTTTGTCTAAACCTTTCTATAGTGTTATAACACTATTGATTGAACTATACACATCATATAATATATTTTCTAACTCATTCAAAATGTAGTTCTTGCATAAAATCAATATGATTCCATGTAACCACATTCATCATAATTATTAGGTCAGATTCATTTTCTGATAATTTTAATGCTTTCTCAGTTAAGAACTTTGTCAAGTTCAAGGTAGTCAAATAGAATAACATCTTTTGTTGTTACTTCTTAAAGTTTAATCCGTTAAATGTTTTAGGTTTCTCACCGTACACCACAAAAGGTGACAATGGAACCTTTATTACTAAAGTAATACTTGTACAAGCAGCATTGGTTAACACAACCAAATCTTGAGTTGAGGACATAATATAATCTATAAGAAAATAGCTAATAATATTTATAAATAAATATTTTGGCTTCATAATAAGCAAGTAATAAAATAAAAACTTTGAAAGAGCAATTTTTTTCTTTTAAAAAATCTAAATTATACAAAATAAAACTAACAATCATTTTTTTTCTTGGGATACTATGTTAAACCATAATTTGTTCACTGAGATTTATTTAATTATTATTATTTCAATTATGAACTATACTGTATATAAAAATAATATCGTGTGAATAATACTTTCATTAAGTAAGTTCACAGGAAAAATTAAAGGGGTCACAAACAGTCCCACTTAAAACCTATTTTTCTTATATAATTTTTTAAACCATATCTATCCACTGCACTAACTTTATGTATATATGAATAATAATGTATATGTGAACAAAACCGATTAGTTAATTGTGATGTTAATCTTATAGAGTATAAGTAAGATAACATAAACTACTGTAAACAAATAAATATTCACTTATTGGCAAATATAAATCAATAAGATATATAATGTGCATCAAGCCATCCAAATAGCATGAAAGTAATTTTAGAAGATAAATTATAACTTTAAATCAAAGATATACAACAGCCTTATACAATTAAACAAAAAGAAAAAAAATCATAACAAGCCAAAATGTTATAGATTAAATTGTGTGTGTGTGTGTGTGTGTGTGTGAGAGAGAGAGAGAGAGAGAGAGAGAGAGAGAGAGAGAGAGAGAGAGAGAGAGAGAGAGAATATAACATCTTAAAATGAAGTTAAATAATAACTTAAAATTTTAAAGATGCTAAAAACCTTTTTCACAATTAATCTATATAATTATTTTTCATTATTTTTTTCTTTCCATAAGATAAACTATATAAATTCTAATAAATCAAAATAAAACCTTAAGAAAGTTTGTACGTGTGTCTATGTGTGTGTATTAGACTAGTGAGCAATTATATTTAGTTTATCATAACAAGACAGCACATGCTAAACATAAAAAAGTATTCAAAGAAAGCCTAGAGTGCATATAAGTTTAAATTTATAAGCATACAAAAACAAAAGTAATGGTAAACATGCTTTCAACACAAAAACAATAATATAATACTAGCATGCATACTAAACATATATCAAATTTATGATTGACATATATATTAAAAAAAAACCTAGTATGCACACTAAAAATAAGATTAATTATGCTTAAATTAAAATAAGAAGTGTACTTACTCGTTGAATTACTTTAAATTAATGAATCTTTTATCCTTAAGGTTTTATTTCTCATCACTTGTGCAACTAGAATGCTTATAAATGTCTTTCAAGATTCCAACAACAACATTATGGTTTAGATGTATGTTTAAACAAGGTCTTTGAACAAAAGAGTATGTAACTTAAATATCTCTCAAGAAGATAAGCCTAAGCTCTAGGTTTGAGAGAAAAATCGAAGAATGAAAAGGATAAGAGTAACACTAAAAATAAGGTGAGGAAGTGTGTGTAAAATTTGAAAAAAAAAATACAAGCTAGAAACTCTTCTTTCACTCCCTCTTTTTCTAATGAATTCTAAAAGCTAAAAGGTTGAAGAATTAATTCTCATTATTATGGACCATTGATTGACCACCATAAATTAAAAATTAGATATAAAAAAACCAAGAGTTTTTTTAGTGGCAAAACCAAGGGTTCTTTAACATTAGTTTCTCATTCACTTATAATTTGCTTATTTAAAAAAATTACCAACATATCTAATCGATCTTGTGATTAAAAGTGTTGTTATACATAAACCTATATAAGTGTTTTACACTATTTAATAATTAGGCTATCCAACATATTCTAGGAAACTAAATTGTTACATTTCTCTTAATGTAATCTATTTTGATTCATTCGTAAAAGAAGAAGAAGAAATTTTATATCAGCTATAGCTGAATGTGAATAGACTTGCAAAGTAATTAATTATGTTGTGTTTTCTCTTTCTATTATAGTAGGAGCTAGAATCTTTTAATTTTTGTTTTATTTTAGCTCATGAAATTGTTTATCCTCCTTCCTAATTAATTATAGCTACCTTGAGGAATGCATTTCTTAAATATCTTGTTGTGATTCGTAAAACCTGTGGGGAGATTTCACTACCTTCCCCTAAAAGGTAGATGTTATACCCTATAAGTTAAGAAGGAAGTTTTAATTTTCAATATCTTTAATAATTAGTTTTTATGAGTCAAAGGTATTTTTATTTCTTTAGATTTTAAAAGTTATTGTTTTCCTTGTTTTTCTTAATCAAGAATTATCTACCAATGTTTTAAATAGATTCCTTCTCTATTATGTTACATAATTAGATAAAAAAAAAGTCTTGGTGGTATTGAGCTGCAACTCTACCAATTGGTTTTAAACACAAATTTTTTTATTTATTTATCTTGTTTCTGTTATTATTTTCTAATAGATTCGACATCAAAGCCTTTCTTAAATGGCTTCTTCATCAAGGATTTCTATTTTTACATATACAATAACTTAGATTTCTATTTTTGATGAAAAGATTTATGATTATTGGAGTTTTTAAATGGAGACAAACTTCATTTCACGAGATTTATGGAGTTTAGTGGATGAAGGATATGAAAAACCACCACAAATAAGAACTGTTTCATTATGGAAAAAAATAATGAGAAAGAATACATGCAAAATATCCAAACTAATGCAATAACGTTGAAGATAATCCAGTAACGAGTGAACAAATCCATCTATCCTATATTTTTCTTTATTAAAAAGACAAGAGATGCATGAGAAATTCTGAAGAACAAGTTTTAAGGATTTTGGAAAGCTATCTCCATAAAATTGCAAAATTTATGGAGATAAATATAAAATCTTATAATGAAAGCTAATAAACCTATCAAAGAGTTTTCTTTAAGAGCCACTAAAGTTATCAACCAAATAAAGAGTTATGGTGATAATGTTTTTGATAAGAAAGTATAGAAAAAATTCTTAGAATTTTACCACAGAAATTTGAGCATATAGTTGTTGTCATTAAAGAAATGAAAGACTCGTGAGGACTTGCAATTATGAATTGATGGGATCTCTTGAAGCATATGAGAACGAGGTGAATATGTCTGACAAACAACCATTAAAGTAGGTTTTTCATACGGAAACTAATTTGTTTAAAAAGATGATATCAATATTTCAACAATCTTTCTATTATAGTAGGAGCTAGAATCTTTTAATTTTTGTTTTATTTTAGCTCATGAAATTGTTTATCCTCCTTCCTAATTAATTATAGCTACCTTGACCCCCAACACACCATGGAAGTGATTAGATCGCAAAATGAAAACCTTTAGTTCTTCGAGCGCTCCCAGCCAAGAGGGGAAGCACAATTTGGTTGTTTCCTGGAATTTGAAACTCCAGCCTTGCAGAGTTGGCCAATGATCTCGGT